CTAGGCCGCCCCTCCCCAGGCCGCCCCTCCCTAGGCCGCCCCTCCCTAGGCCGCCCCTCCCTAGGCCGCCCCTCCCCAGGCCGCCCCTCCCCAGGCCGCCCCTCCCTAGGCCGCCCCTCCCTAGGCCGCCCCTCCCTAGGCCGCCCCTCCCTAGGCCGCCTCCCACCGAACCCCACCACGGGGATGTCCACTCCACTCCGGGGCCGCGGCGGGGTCTCCAGCTGCAGGTCGTTGCCGTGTCCCGAGGCGTCCCGAGCCGCCGTGTGGTGGCGGAATATCCCCGGGTCGCTGTTGGGCTCGTCGAACTTCCACCACCCCACCAGGTCGGGGAAGCCCTCCAGACCGCTGGACCCTGAGGGGGCCGCAACAACCACCCACCCAGAGGCCGGAAAGGGGGGGAAAGACGAACCACACACGATTGAAGCTGCTGCCAGGGCAAGAGTATCAAACGTAGAACTGACCGAAAGGCGTCCGTGGCGACCTCGAGATGAAGAAGTGAAGAAGATGTCGGAAAGACTACCCACCTAAGCCGCCAGAACTAAAAAAGAAGAAATAGTATTGCCAAGCCGTAACGAAGTAGGTGTAGAAAAGTAGTTGTGAAGGCGGCGGAAAAGTAGTGAAGTAGTGCTGTCGTAAAGCTGGCATAAAGTTGCTATCCTGGACAAATAGCTGATTCGCTGATACTGAAAGGCTGTCGGTATGCAAGTGCTCCTCCCAACCCCCCAAACTAAAACGCGCGACCGACCGCGCGACCGAAGGGGGTGATGTCAGTGGGCACATAGGCCCCTCTGCAGCACCTGCGGTTCCAGCATCAGTCAAATAACCCACCAGTACATACAGACGCACACGCCCGCCCACCTCCCCACTCACATCTCATTCGCCGTACAATCTCCTCCTGGCCCAGGGCCGTCTTCCACAGCCGAACCTCGTCCATCAGGCCGTGGAAGCCCTGACCCGGGTCCACGCAGCCGCCGAAGCAGTCCTGCACGGGCGGGGGGAGGGGGAGGGGGAGAGAGGTAGGGACTGACTCACATACAGACGCCTGCAGGCAGTATGGCGAACCACAAGGCAAGGAGAGCTATACGCCGTACATATACCACTGGGACAAGATGCCGTACAGGTACCACTGGGACAAGATGCCGTACAGCTGCCACGTGGCAAATGGATTGTCTCGATACTGCCGCCCCCCACCCCCNCAAAACACCCCACCCCACCCNCAACACCCACCCCCACC